TGCTGTGCTGCAGTTGGTATGTTGGCTAGAGCTTCATGAAACCCAATGCGCGGTTTTGACAGAGGAGGCACAACTGTTGGCAGGTTCTGGTGACCATGGCAAGCCTCAGCGGGAGTTATTCTAAGAATACAACGTATGATCAGATTACTAAGGGACACTTTACATAGCTCTAAAAAATGAACCATCTGACAGTTTATGACAGGTCTTGCCCGTTCCAGCCAAATGAGGAGTGTGCGAGTCTCTGCTGACCCTGCAGCCAGGGTTGTGAGACAAAGAAAGAGCTTTGCAGAGGCTGTGAACCTACAGACTTTTATCTGTGTAATACCTGCTTACATCTAACTTCTGATAAGAAAAACAAAAGATGTTTAGGACTTGCTGTCCTTGCAGTTTTGATTCTTGGTAATTTAATACATTCTTGCTGCGGTTTATTTGGCTTGGCAATTTGTATAGTTCTATATTTAGTAATTCCCGTGATGCTAATGTCTTTTGTAGAGTGATCTGGACGTTTTTTGCTACTAGTGTGTCTGTTAACATACTCTGCCACCTTTGTTTTTTTTACCTGGTTCTGTGGGGACATGATTCTGAAAGAGGAAGGCTGTATGAGAGGTGGAGGCAAGTGGGAAGTGAGTTCTAAAGCTGGATGTTTTGAGGATCCACATTTGAATACTCTAGAGAATTTAAGAGTATTTCTATACCAGCTTCCAATACGCACAGTTTGTACAACAGTTTCCCCTCCCTTTAGTCTCCTCTAGTAAAGTGCATTGCCTGAGATAGCGTTGGAATTTTTGCTGATGTTGTCAAACGCATGCTTAGGGAAACACCTCCCACTTTCGCAGGCCGGCTACAGTTTATTGTCTTTCCTCCCCACTGCATAGTCCCAGCTTCCCTTGTTATATTCTCTATAACACTCGGTCCCTCCTAATTCCTTTGAGGTGCTGAGTGGTGCAGGAGGCTGGTGTAACTGTGTAAAGGTTTCTTTCTGCTAGCTCTTGCTTTTTAGTTTGTTGGGGTTTTTTTTGATTTTTGGTTTGTTTTCCGTTTTTTGTTGTTGTTGTTTTGGGGGTGATTTTGGTGTTTTTTTGTTTTGTTTTGTTTTGGTTTTTTTGTTGATGTTTGGTTTGGTTTTCTCTGGCGCTCCTTGTTTCTTGTTGCTTCTCTGCTCCTACATGGGTTCCCAATGCACTGCAGGCCTTTCAGGGTTGTCCCTGCTCTGGCATGGGTCTTACACGGGCGGCAGTTGCCTCAAAGTGTACTCTTCGTGCCATGGAGCGCCTCTGTTCAAGAACACCTTTCCAGCCATGTCCCTAGCAATGTCCCTTAAAATGTGACTCCTCCTTCGTTTTCTCCAAATGTGTCTTTTTACGTATCTTGCATTTCTCTTTCTGTGCATCTGCGTATGTGTCCTTTTTGTGATTCCTTTTGTGTGTCTCTTCATGTGTCTCCTGCCCCTCGTGGCTGCTGCCCTTTCCAAATGTGATTTTTTTTTTTCTTTCTTTTTTTCTCTTTGAATAGGGGTAGCTTGTGCTCCTCTGACTGGTTGAGGTTTTTGATGGGTTGTTGTTTTCATCCATTTTGGAGATGGCTGGAACTGACTGTGACTGGCACAGTTCATGGCATCCTTTCACATGAATTGCTCCCGCAGCCTTCTACTGCTGAAGCAGAGTAGTGCTATGTCAGACTACTCAGTCTGTGTAATTTCTTGACTTTGATGGAATTGGAACAAAGCTGAATTTGCTCCGTAACATGTATTATCTGGTTGAGAATCCTTTGTAATTAGTTTTGCAAGGATGATCCATATTTGAGCCAGTGTCTTGAGAATTTCCATGTGTTCAAATTGTCAGTATATCCCAATATGCACCCTTTAAAAGTTTGCCTGAAATTTTCCACATCCACTTCTCAAGGCTAGTTTTTCCTCTTGCTTTCACTAATTCATTCTCTTTGCCCTTCAAAGGGTCCTTGTAGTGTATATAAATTTTCATTCTTTATAGACAATGGGGCTTGAGCACCTTGTTTGGTTCTGCACAATTCCCACTTCTGACATGAGTCAAACTGCCCTGAAATCTTACATATGGTGGCATCTGTGCGAGAAGAATCACTTCAGTTTTTTCTTACCTTTCAACTTGGATCCTTGTTCAACAGATGGAGGCTTTGAAAAGCCATAAATACTGTTCTTGGGACTAGAAAAAGGTGGTGTGGGTATGTGTTGCTAGTAATTGGTCTCAGCTTTGTAAAAATGGTTACGTTGGTTGGAAAAGCAGATGGGTGGAAGGTAGCATGACAGCACCTACTCTCATCAGGTACTCCTGGGCATGCCACTGTGCTAATGCTGAAACTCTTAACTGAAGAGGTCAGTGGTTACGTGCTGGGCATTGTGTTTCTGGCACAGTGTGTTTCCTAATCTGTGTATAGAGAAGCTGGAGCTGTTTTCTCAGCTACAGACCTGATCTCTTCTCCCAGGAGAATGAGGAGAGCTTCTGTATTGACACTACTAGGAAAAGACTAAGATCTGTAAATGTAAAATGCTTTCCTATCCCTGTGTAAGCTTTAGTTGTGTTTCATGAATATGGCCTAAATGTGGTCATGGACATTTACATTCTTTTGTTTCAGAAATTGATGGAATTAGTAGCTTTGCCAGCCCTTCCCTCAAGGGTTGCGTGTTCAAGTTCTAGCACAGAGTCTTCCACTGCATCCAGTTTTTTTAGGGTTTGGTTGTACAAGGGTTTTAAACTAAAAACAAGTGTCAACTTTTTCATAGAATATTAAACTAGTGGAATAAATTTTGCATCTGTTTTCACTGCTTGCTTTTCTGATGTCTGTAGTGCCCTAATGTACAAGTTCTCAATTCAACCTATAAACTTTCCATAGAAAATATTGGGATATTATAATTTTGTTAAAAATAAATTCCACAGGAGCTGTGGCGTTGCTTTCCAGTTTATTCTGACTTAATTCCTCAAACATTTGCAGCCATATAGGATGTCTCACAGCCTTGCACTTCCTGCTCCCAACTTTTTATTAAGGTTCTGTATCGCTACTAGTGTGGTCACCACAAATGTTTTATTTTGCTAGGACTGTTCTTTCTATCATGTTTTCTGCCTTGAATTAGCCTAGAGTTCAGAGGTGTAGCTGCTGCTTCTGATTTTTCTCTTTATTCCTTCATCTCCAGGAAAAGAACAAAATCTGTGTGTCTTAGATTTGATATATGGGAGACAGTGTATGCAACCTGTATAGTGTGCCTCATGCCTTGTTGTCTACTCAAACAGTTCTGTGGTGCTAGCTGTCTATCAGGTCTAAGCTTGCTTATCCTATTCACTGCTAAAGTAGCTCAGCCTTTTCTGCTTCTCTTCCTGATTTTTTTAAAATCCTGGACCTGAGTCTTCTGCAGTTTCCTGCTTTCATTCCAAGCAATTTAAAATTCTGTACCAGTGACCTTGTAGCTTCATGTTTTGTTAGTCATTTAATTCATGTTGTTCTTAATACCATTTCCCTCGTCTGTCACCATGACCATCTTTTCTTTGCAGCTCTGCACTGGCCTCTCCTCTCACATTGAACATAAAGCTACTTGTCTTCATTACTCGGATCATGTCACACTGATAAATTCTGTGTAGCTGTTTCCATGTACTTCCTCATCGTATTTCATTGTCTAGTACTTAGGTTCACAGAATGACAGGCTCATTTAGGTTGAAAGGAATCTCTTCAGATTTCTAGTCTGGCCATATTGCTCAAGCAGTGTCAGCTACAGCAGGTTGCTCAGGATTGCATCCAGCCAGGTTTTGAGTATTCTCCAGGGACAGAAACTCTACAACCTCTCTGGGCAGCCTGTAACAGTATTTGACCACCCTTCCAGCAAAAAAAGTTGTTTCCTCTCTCCCCTGCTTTGTTTTTAGATGGAATGTCTTTCAGTTTGTGCCCATTTGTTTCTTGTCCTATCACTTGGCACTGTTGAGAGGAGGCTTGCCTCTCTTCTTTATTGCCTCCCGTTAGGTATCTATGTGCATTGATTAAGAACTCCCACTGAGTCTTTTCCAGGCTGAACAGTCTCAGATCTCTCAGCTTCTACTCGCATAAAGGTTTCTCTTGTCCCTTAATAATTTTTGTGGACCTTTTGCTGGCCTCACTGCAGTACTTCCACATCTTTCTTGTGCCGAGGAGCCCAAAACTGGACACAGTACTCCAGATGTTGCCTCAGCAGTGCTGAGCAGAGATGAAGATCACCTCCCTTGACCCACTGACAACAACCTGAGATGATGTTGGCGGCCAAGCCTTTGCCATGGGTGTATTGCTACGTCAACTGTTGGCTTGTTCTCAACCAGGACCCCATCCACCGAGTCAATTTTCAATCCACCTGCTTGTCCGCTTAGCTAACCCATACCTTGTCAGGGTTGCCTATGGGGATATTATGGAAAACAAAGTCAAAAGCCTTACTAGAGTCACAATATGTACATCTCTGTACTCATCCACCTCACTGTAGAAACTAATAAGTCGGTTAAGTATGATTTCCAATTTGTAAATCCCTGTGGACTACTCCCAGTCGCCACCTTGTCCTCATGTATCTGGAAATGGCTCCCAGGATTACATGTTCCATCACCTCCCAGGGACTGAGGTGAGGCTGACTGGCCTGTTAGTTCCTGGATCTTCCTTCTTCCCTTTCTGAATGTTTTAGGGTGAGTGGCTTTCCTTTTTCTCCTTTGAACTGGCAATTTTGATCCATGTTTACAGATTGTGCACACTATGGAAATATAATTATTAAGCAAAACACTTGGTTTTCCTTTTTATTGGTAATTTTAACCTATACAGATGCAAGCTGGGAAATAGAATTTGCAGCCCAAGGTTCTGCTCCTAAAACATGGTCTATGTGAACTAGCGAGTACCTTCCTAAGACAGAAAATAGTGCGACAGGAGTATCACCCTACTGCTGATGTCTATAGACAGCTAATTCCATTGTGCATCTTTCCCAGGGGTCATAGCTTTCTGAACTTGTATTTGCATTATTTCTGTTCCAGGCCGAAATGAGCTGATTGCCCGCTATATTAAGCTGAGGACAGGGAAAACACGCACAAGGAAACAGGTAAGTGTAGCTTTCCCTGTAAACATTAGTTCTGTGGGACCACTAAACATGATGAGGGCTTATGAGAACAAATCCCTTGCTGTTCACTTCTTATTACCTTCTGGCTTTGCTGGAAAGAGGTTGTTGTGCTACGCTGGTCAATAAAAATAGTGGGCAGAGTCAGCTCAGGAATTTTACAGTAGTATTGTAATGCCCCTGTCTCCCAATCACACTGAGAGAGAAGTTTTTCTCCTGTTAAACGGTGTGTGATTTCATTGGCTTGGTTTACTAATTAATGTTCCAGTGAACATCAGTAGGCCTCTATATGAAGATTCTTTGCTCAGCCCAGAGAGATGGACAGCCGTGGTGATTTTGAAAATACCTGGTGCATGGGATGAAAAAGGAATCTTTTTAATTTGGGAATGATAGTCTAGGCTATGCTGGACAAAGCACAGAGCAACCTAGACCTGCTTTGGGTAGGAGGTTGGTGAATGACATCCAGAAGTTCCTTCCAACCTGTATTATTTTGTGATAACCACATTAGATATGGGGAAGTTCTGAAAGTCATTATATAGTACCAAGGGATATAGAACATGGTTTTCCCTTCTCTCAAGAAGAGGCTAAGATGGGAGCCAAGAGATCAGAACTCTCAGTCCTTTCAGTTTTAGATGAAGTCTCTGGCTTGATAAAGCTGCTGTATTGGAGAAGGTCTTAAATGGGACCTTTGCTGGTCCCCCACCTCATTTCATGACACTTAAATTGTATTTAGAAAAGCATCTTATTGCTATCTCCAACTCCTTCTCCCCCAATCCTAAAAAACTCCCTATTGCACAGGGTACCTGAAGTATGTTTACTTCTGCAAGCAGCTCTGCTAGTACTCCTCTGAAATGAAGATGGATTTTGTCTTTTCAATGCAGGTATCTAGTCACATCCAGGTCCTGGCAAGGCGGAAAGCTAGAGAGATCCAAGCCAAGCTCAAGGTATGATGGGTGTCCTTTAACATATCATGCAAGCCCCCTGAGTCAGCTATTCCCTCATCCATTCCCTCTTTGAATAGCCTCAAAAAAGGGTGAGATTAACTGCTGAATTGTAGTAAGCTGGGGCGGAAAAGGTCCTTCCCAGGAAGTGTTGTGCAGACATTTGTAGTGTGGTAGCTCTGTGACATCTGGAGCAATTCTGTTTAAAGAATAAAGAAAGAATAATTTCAAATTGTGTGTCTGATTTCTATCTCCGGTTTATGCTGCTGTCATCCAAGTCTGAAAGACCTTTAGACTTGGGAGTATGCTAAGTGTTTACCTGAGAAGAAGGGGTTTATTGTTACGAATGCTGACCAGTCATCAGTCCCTGATGTTGTGGTGGCCCTGGGAAAAGGTAGCCTTACAGTTACCACAGTGCTAGTTCCACCTCTACTAGTGGTAGTGATGAGGACTTCTCTGTGAGAAGGTGTTCCGAGCTGGCATAAACATTGAGAGGAAGCAATAAGGCCATTTGGCTTCTTCTCAGGTAAAGTGGTGCCAGCTGAATAGCCCCTTGATCAATTCAGACCTGCTTTGAAGAGACCTTGGCTAATGAGATGGAAAATTTGGTTGACTACTAGCTTGAGCAAATCTGTGTTTTCCTTTCTATAGGAAGAGCTCTGACATCACAGTAATGAACTGATGCTTCTTGACATTTATTTCCACTGATTTGAAGCAGGGAGATGGTTTATATATTCAGACCAAATTGCAGGAAATGTCAAGAAGGTCAAGTTTATGGGTGACAATTGCACAAGAGGGTGTCCCCTGTTAGAATGTGAGCCATCTGTAAAGGGCTTGGTGAGCAGGATTTGAGATCTGGTCCTTGTTATGTGTTACTGAGGCAGCCAGAAAAGGAAGATGTGTGCTGACGTTCGTGATTTTGGTGTGGTAATAAGTGATCTAGAGAGAAGTGTGTTTGCTTCATGCTTTAAGAGATGGTGAGGATCTTGACAGCCCAGTCCAGCCCTAACTGTTGAGTGAACGGCTGTTAGTATGTGCTTCCCCTTTGCTGGCTGGGCAACTCTTCACTGGGCAGTAAGAGAAGTGGACTGTGTGAGTGAACTGTTGGTACTCGGTCTTGACCAGTGCTGAAGTGCATGCATCTCTCTTGCAACCAGTAATTACCTCTAAGTCATGACTGCACCCCCCGCATCCCATCCCCAGCTCTATTTTAGAAAATGGAGTTGTGTCTGTCATTAGCCTGTTGTGTTTCCAGTTGCTCTGATAAAGAGAAGGAGCCACAAATTACAACTATCTAAGTGTGCTTCTAGGTAGGGCTGCCTAAGCCTGAAACCTGTGGTGCAGCTAAGTGGTCAATTCAGGTGGAGGCTCACTTGGGAGGCGAGTTAGAGCAAGTAGGAAACAACAACTGCCTGGGGTGCTAAAAGATTTACTGCTACTTATATCTGTAACTTTGATTCCATTCCTTGCATGTCACAGCTCTGGGATTTGGCATGATTGAAAAGCCAGTCAGCCGAGCCTGTTTCCACTTAGCACACAGGAGCTGGCTGTTTTTGTTCTCAGGGAATGAAGGTGTCTCAGGGAGCTCCATGGAGCCATTGGTTGTTCTCGTTTTACACCACCCCAGGCCATGCTGTGAGCTCTGCCCAGCTGCCTGCAGTGAACCATTCCCCACTACCAGACTCTTCCCTTCTGCCTGCAGAGGCAAGCCTATAGCACTGATTCAACTCATTTACTTCTTTGCTTTTGTTAGTCATTTACATAGAGCAAGGAAATGAAATCACAAAA